TTACCCAAGACCATTTCATGATCCTTTGGGAATCTCGGAGGACACTTGGACATATTATGATTAGCTTAATGGAATCATCCCTAGAGATGAATAAATTGGACCAACCAAGGTAAGACATAGGATTTGGTAGATACACCTCAAGCTTGTGTTCTTTGCTTTTCCTACAAGCATGTTTTAATTCCTGCAAAATTATATATATGTTTTGCAAGTACTGACCTTTTAGGTGGAGGAACGAGAAGAATCGGCAGGTACGCTTTTAAATTATTTCATTGCAATTTACTTTTATTTACTTTTTGTGCTTCTCATTTTCTACCTGCAAATTTGCATGTTAAACAACAAACTCACCCTGCATGCTAAAGTTGAAACCTTTAGGATAGCCACAGAACTGGAACCAAAACCAAAATTAAAAAATCAAAACAAGATAAAATTCACCTCCACAATAGATTCACCTACCTCCACAATAGTCAAAATATAAGACAACTCAAAATTTAATCACAAACAAAACAAAAAAAAAATTACAACTAAATTAAAATGTCTTTATCGGATGATTAGGAATCCCTCAGAGGAGGTAACTTACGGTTGTTAAAAAGATTTCCCACGGTCTAAATGAAAGTATGAGACTCATTAAATTGAGTTTAGTAAATTCATTTGGACTAAGTGAATTCGAAGAAAATAGTGGTGTCGGAACGAGGGAACAGTGAGATCTTAACCAGTGTCGCTCTAATCAACTTTAATATTTCCTATAATATTTAAATAATCATAACCTTAAGAAACATTTGATTTGACACCAAGACTTGACACATTAAAAAACTTAAACTTACTACAACGAGGAGCTTGGAGCTAGCACTATGGGCAGCACGAGCATCTTCAATAGCAAAAAATGTCTTAGAATTAAACAACTGAGCCATAGGATTTTAAGGTTGTCCGCCTAGTGCGACATAAATCCTCAACTCTTCTTTAGGCCTTTGTATGACTCTGTTATACAATATATGCCCTAACTCGCTTTAGGATTCTGTGATTGTCGTTCGTCATGACCTAAATCCTCATATCTTCCAAGCTATTTGTGTGATCATTTCAAACGAATGTAAGCCCTAATTAATAAAATTGGTAGGATGAAACATTTAAATATTTCTTCTCTAAATTGAAGTCAAACAGTAGGATAGCTTGGAAAGTCATCAAGGTTCTCGTCAGGATCCGTGACATCCTCTAATTCTTCTTCCTTTGGATTCTAAAAAATAAAACTGTTCTAAGTTGGAGCTATTCTCATTTCAAACCTCTTTGTCCAATCTTTTTGAAAAGTCATATCCTTTGAAATTCTTGAAGATAATATTCCGTGATTTTCATCAAGAGTTTTCTTAGGTGACTTCGGTTATCTAAGATGTAATTAACTATATGGGCCTTCCTTTATAGGGAACTTTCAAGAACCCAACTTAATATAAACCCTATTTAATTTTTTTTTTCACTAAATAGGGAAACTTGTTGGCAAACATTAAAGATATTTTTTTCACAGAACAAACGGATGTCATACATTTCTTAGTTTATTTGATTGAGCCTCACTATCGAGTCAACACAGCTTACCAGCCTCACCAAGCAGGGCCATCACCACCCAAACCCTAGCAGAGCAACTCTAGGGTCAGCAGCCAGCCCCATCTCATATATATATATATATATATATATATATATATATATATTAAATGCCCTTCCGAAGCGGGCGTCGGGATTTCCATTTTGGCGACCGACAACTTCTACAGGACCCCTAAAATTGTGCCAACAAGCGTACATTAAATTTACTTTAGATTTTTCTTACCTAATTAAATTTTATAGTTTGAATAATGTGATTTGACGTAATAACCTTAAGAATTTCCAACTCTCTGTGGGATCGATACTTAGGACTCCATTAGAGCTCTTTACTACTTGAGCGATATGTATACTTGTGTTATTTATATGGGTTTGGCAGCTTAGAGATTTTAAAAGATAGAATTTTTTTTTTGAATTTATTTTTATTAGGATTGAACTGCATATTATTATTAATGCTAGCCGACTGCCCGCATATGTCATCATCCCCAACTGACCTAACCTGTAAACCGTCCACACTAAAACCTTAAGATCTCTCCCTACACTCAACAAAATCACATGGTGTTTGTTCCTACACCTTCATCTAATCCTGACGAACACATCCATATGGTTACATGTTCATTAAATTAAACTTCTCTTCACAATTGATGTAACTGAGATAAAAGTATGGTTTTTGAAATATACCTTTGCCCAAAAGGTGAGGCATCAATTGGGTGCTTCTGGAAGCTTCAATGGACTATGATAAACCTCGTTGAAGTATTTCTTTGATCTGGTGAAAGTTCTAGTGTAGAACTCCTCCAACAGGTGGTATAGCCTTGTCATTAAGCTAGGTTAGAGTGGGTGAGAGAGGGAGCTTTTAGTAGAAAAATTCCTCTCTTGGTCTGGGGAAGCTCAGGGATAGTTTAATTAGAAGTATGGTGGAGTTTAGTAGAGTGACCAAAAAATGTTCTGAAATTGGGCTCAGGCAGTGGGAAGGATGGCTGAAAGATGGTTGGATTGAGCTCAGAGAGGATTGGAGAAGCTCTGGGAACAATTTGGCAGAGTCTCCCCAAGATTTTGTGCACTCTCTATGTTTTAGCCGTGGGAGGTGGAGTTTAAATAGAGGTGCTTGCGGTGGCCACCAGGCCCAGATAATGGGTGCAATGTAGTGCTTAGGTGGAGGGGAGAGATGTGCAAGTGACCAATGGGGGTTGGACACTTTGGATGAGTGCAATTGGGTTTGAAGCATGAGCATGAATCTCTCAAGCTAAGGTTTTTTGACAATTAGACTGGTCGGACAAGCCAAGGGAGGTGCTTAGTTGGCTCAAGATTCTCAAAGGAGTCTTAATTGTGATTAACTTGGGGCTTGGGATGGCTGGTAGAGTATCTTCCCTTGGTTTAGCCACATTTGATAAGAAATCCCCTAAATCAAGGGACCCTTGGTCTATGGCCATGAGGTTGGGCTAGGTGGATCTAACCTGGTTCTTAAGGTTCAAATCTTGGTTGTTGTGAACTTGGCTCGGTCAATTTGGGTTGGTTTGGTCAAATGTATGGCTTGTGTTCAAAATTGGGGCTTTGGTCTACGTTGGGTTTGGACTAGGTTTCAGGTCAAGTGATTGATCAATTAGTTGTGAATGATTGTCATGAGAAGTTTTAAAAAGGAATTGGGTAGTTTTGAATTGAAGAGGAGGTTCAATTTGGTGATATTTGGCTCATGGTCAATTTTAGGGCATTTGGGCTAGACTTAGGTTTGGATTGGGCTAGGCTTAGGTTAGGGTCAACTGATGATTGAAATTAGCCCAAGAAATTTTCATGAAGAGTTTAGAAACAATAATTGAGAGAATTGGCTAGGCTATGGGGTTCAATTAGGTGGAATTTGAGGCTTAGGCCAATTTGGGGATTTAAATTGGCTTGAAATTTGGGTTTGGAATTGAGCTCAATTGGGCTTGAATTTGGTTTCAAATGGGTTTATACATGATGAATTTGAGTTTAAAATTTAAATTATAGAAATTTGAGATCAATTTGGTGGAAATTTGGGGTGATTTGAAGACTTCAGGCATTTTGGGGTAAAATTTGAATTTTGGGCAAAATTGGTCAATCTGGTCAAATTGGACCAAATGGATTGTCAAGAAAGGTTTCAGGAGACATTAGAGTGAATTTGGAGAATTTAGAAATTTTTGGGAATTTTGATGTATGAAGGGCATTTTGGTGATTTTGGCGGTTTGGGGGCAATTTGGGGATTTTGGGAAATTTAAGGCATTTTGCTTAATTTGAGTGATTTGAAATGATTTGAAATGATTTTTGAAGAGATTTTGAGAATTTGGATAATTTTGGGAATTTTTTAAAATTTTTTAAAAATCTAGGGAATTTTTTAAAAATCTAGGGTTTAGGGGCAATTTGATAATTTGGTGAAGTTTGGGGCCAAGAAGGGTCAAAATTGGGAATTTGGCAAATTTGGGATGGATTGAGAATTTTAATCTTGAAATTACCCTTTTTGAGCCATGAGACCGACGGAACTCCCATTACGGATCCTCTATGTGCTAGTCTTAGCCAAACCCTAGCCCAAGACTAATGATTTAGGGAACCATCCACATGAGTTTCCAGTAGAGTAACGGATCAATCTAGGCATATTTGATTAGGGGTTAAGGTTTTGGGTGTAAGTGAGGGGCATCAAGTGTATATGTGTGTGTGACATGGCCAGACCACACCACCCAGAGTCAACCCTAAGGCCAAACAATCCTGTGGGACTCCTCTTGAGCTCCCCCATATTGGCTCCACCTAATAAGTTTTAGAGGTTAGAACCAACATGTGGAACTTCAAATTGAGAAAAAAAGAGTTTAGAATTTCTAATGGTGAGGGTTCCTTTACTAGTCTTTTAGAAATAGTCAACAGGAAAATCCTATGGCTAGATTCTAAGTTTCTAAGGAAGAAACCAGACCTCAACCAAAAATGAGGTTAACAACCGGACACAAAATTTGCACCCGGTATCTTGACGGTATAAAGAATCCCTACCTAGAGCCATAATATTTTGTGATTTCATGCTCATCAAATTAAATGTGGCTGCCATTCATCACCCATAATAAATGTCCAGCTATTAATTTAGTCAAAAACTATGCACGAGTAATTTTATGTTCATCAAGCTCTAAGGTCTCCAATTAAGCAACTTAGAAGTCAATCTTTACGACAAAATCCAGTCACCCAAAAATTAAATTACAGAAAAAATAAAATACCCAACTCAAAAGATTGTTTACTTACCTTTGTTAGGCTAAAATCAACAAAGAATTTTATTCCACCCATCAGGCTTCAAGTGTCTGACTTTTACATATCCATTATCTCAGTGCAGTGCATGTGTCCTGTCCGCGCCGTGTTTGAATTTGCTGTCCTCACTCGATCTCTGCCTATAAAAGTCTCTTCAAATAAGCCTGAATTAATACTACAATACATTCATGGCTTCCAAGCTCAGCTTGAATACCTCAGAACTCTTCATATTCATCTTCCTGGCTGCTGCTTTGGCTTCTGCTGAGCTCTCACCAACCTTCTACGACAACTCATGTCCATCAGCTCTGCGCATCATTCAGTCCACTGTTAGAGCTGCTATCTCCAAGGAGAGACGCATGGGAGCTTCTCTCCTCCGACTTCACTTCCATGATTGCTTCGTTAATGTAAGTTTATTGAATCTGGACCAACGACTTCTTTCTTCTGCATGCATATATTAAGCTGATTATTTTAAGGGCAGGGATGTGATGGTTCTATTCTGCTGGACGATACTCCAAGCTTCACAGGAGAGAAGACCGCGGGACCTAATAATAATTCCTTGAGAGGATTTGACGTTGTGGATAGCATAAAATCAAATGTTGAGGCTTCTTGTCCTCAGGTGGTCTCATGCGCTGATATATTAGCCGTTGCTGCTCGTGACTCTGTGGTTGCGGTAAGAAAAATAATATCTTTTCTATATATATATATTAAAAGAAATTATCAGAGGTTATTATACAAGTCTCAACACTTCCTCATGCGCCTAAGAATTCGAGTACCACACTGGGAGGAATTGAACCCTAGACCCGAAGGGACATACAACTGACAAACAGGTGCCCGACCAACTATTTGAATACGCGGCGCATCTATCTATCTATCTATATATGTATGGC